TGATAACTGCACCTTCGTCAGGAGAATGTTGTGTTATTTAGGCCTGAATTTCTGCCGCAACCATCAAAGGGCCTTGATGTTTGCTATCTCTACCCAGTTTGATGCATACTGAGAAGGATGTACACCACTCTGATGGCACTCATGCCCATTGCTCGCCAGGTTCTATTTCCTCGGTTAAACAAACTTGTTGAATAATGTCCCCAGCGTGACCCACCCAGAATGTTTCTCTTTTTAACCTGCTACCCTTCTTCCTGCTAATCTCAGTGTGTATCAGCGCCGATACATACTCAGATACGTATTTGCTTGGCAGATGACTGTTCTCATTTCCATGGTAGCAAGATCAGGGAGGTAACGCACCGCTCTGCATGGTGTGTTTTCTGTGCATCCAGGTATGATGCACATGACATTCCGTATTCAATCTAGTCTCTCTAACGGCTAAGAGTCAGAATCGCCAGAGCGTACTCAGTTACAGAAAGGATTAGTTCCTGACATAAGAAATACTGGTGACGTTGCTCATTCTGCCTTAATCATTAGCCCCGTCAACCCTCCCCTTGCCTTCATTATCATATGGTTGAAAGGCTCATCACTGAACGAGTTCTCCCAATGATCTTAGAACCCAGACATACAGTTGGTGTTGAGGCGTTTATAATGTGGCAAAACGATGACTCAGGCGATAACAGGTCTGATGTGATAGACGTCAGTTATTACTCTGTCAAATTGTTTCAATGACCAACTAACACTATTTTGTTTTCAATACGACAACTTGCAATAAAAGAAAAAAGATACCAATGTGTTAAAAATGCATTTTGCAGAAGAAACAGATCTGTAGAGAAACGTAATTGCAAATTGCAGATGGGCCGCACTGACTGACATTATCTATCGTCCATGTCGTACAATAACGACAGACAATCTGCAGAACGTTATTGTACATTGTAAATGCCTGCCAAGATAGCTCTGCATGTATGTAGCTACACACAAGAGGCAACATTATCATGTGACCCTTAATGACATCATACACAAGAGGTAAAATAATCATGTGACCCTCAATGACATCATACAGAAGAGGTAACATTATCATGTGACCCTGAATGACATCACTGGGATGCCATAATTTAATTGCTGCACTCGTGGTGACATGAATAGACCTTACAGCAAATACAAAACTCCCTATTTAATTCTTCTGACAGTGACGGTCCGTTTGTTTCACTGACGTACCCATGGGGTTAATTTAGTTCAAAATAGCTCTTCCCCCCCCCCCCCCCCCCACCGCCACCACTCCCAGATCTGAACCCATAACTTGTGTTATATCTTATTTCTACATAACACTGGATAAGGCACATCTTCTTCAGTTTTAAAATTATATTTTATCTAATGTTTCATTAGCTAGAAACATTATTTAACTATCACATTCTGTATACATAAATGTTTTTTTTTTTTTTTTTAAGTGTTCATCCTAATCGGTTTTATTTGAAAGACGTTTTGTGTGCAACAAGTTATAAAACACAAAAGACTGAAAAAACAAACAATTACATTTAAACTATTTCAGTTTCTCAACGTAGTTTCTGTTTGCAAAATCCCCGGTTATTTCTTAGATTTGGTAACTTTAGTGAGTATAGACATGAGAAAACCATTTGATGTTTGACTGGATTTGTTGGTGAACAACAATTTGTTGTGTAGCCTGGTTTATTTATGTACAACATTTTGTGTGTAGCCTAGTTTATTTATGTACAACTTTTTGTGTGTAGCCTAGTTTATTTATGTACAACTTTTTGTGTGTGGCCTGGTTTATTTATTTACAACATTTTGTGTGTGGCCTGGTTTATTTATGTACAACTATTTGTGTGTAGCCTGGTTTTTTTTATGTTCAACTATTTGTGTGTAGTGGGTGTATGTATTTAGAACTTTTCGTTGTGTAGCCTATTATGTTTAAGTACAATGACTGTTGTCTCTGCTGGAATATGTGCTGCTTGTCTGAGCAAAAAAGAGCTAAAGAAATTATCGTCTGTGAATTTGTTACAGTGATTGATGTTGAATAAAATTGTTACAATAAGATACGTGTGATAGCTAGGTCAGTGACAGCATTTATTATAGAGTTACAATAAGATACGCTTGATAGCTATGTCAATGTAAGAATTGATGATATAGTTACGATAAGATACGCTTGATAGCTATGTCAATGTAAGAATTGATGATATAGTTACGATAGCTAAGTTTGATAACTAGGTCAAAATGATAATTGATAATAACTATGACAGGCATCTGTTGAAGGCTGTAAACCTTTAGCCATCATTTCCGAAGCCGGAGCTTTAGGTTATAATTATGTCTAGGTTATGTGCGCCACATAAAATGTATCAACCTGGTACATAACAAAAGGCCATAAAAAGGATTCCTGCAGCGTGGATGCGATCAAAGGAGACAGAGGCAAATACTGTCCCGACGTCGTTTACTGGTCAGCCAATGAGCCACTCGGTGGCCGATGCGTTATTATCACGTCCGTAGCCTTTACTGGAACCCATTTTAATTTGATTTTAGCAGAAGATTAAAATACATTTATAAAACTAAGTCCCGATGTGCATTCCAGCAATAAGCGCTGTCAGGGAAGCATCTAACAACAGCTCTAGCGCGGCTATCCTGTTGCAGGGAATATGCTGTCAAGTCGTATTAGTTGCCCGTATCGACAGCGCAGCACCTCGGTCTGATCCATTCATGTTGTGTTTTCTGTTGCAGTAGCCTTTCATATGTGTAAATGTTTGTGGTAGCCAGTAGAGGATGCCAGGCATGTCTTCTTTCTTTACTCCACAAGTTTTTTTTTATTTTCTACAGACGGTTTATTGTCTCTGACACCTTTGCCTTAACGTCTCAGGAACGCAGCGCCTTGTCCGCACTTCTTTTTTCCGTCAGCCACTGCGGACTCGACTTTCACCCTGGCTATCTCGGCGCATACAGTCAAGATAATTTCTGGGGGTTGGACTTCTGTATGATGCCAATCTTGCCAGTTTGCATCTTAAGAATGCTCATAGAGTCTGTCAATATCAATGCGTGAGTTGCCTTCTGTTCCGCCAGCTGGTCGAGTGCCCCTGTGACAGCTGCTACCTTCACCGTCATGCTAAAAGTAGATGGACTGAATTCATGGTTTTCTTCTTTTAATGTTTCCCCTTTCACCCGCGCTGTGTACGTCTGCCCTGACCGCACCCGCCCTAGCCACTGAGCCACCTATACAGATTAATACATCAAATCGTCGAGTGTGTTCGTAAATTAGGGCCGCAATTTCAGCATCAGCGGCTGCCTTCTCTGCAATACAAAATCTACCCTTTCCAAGCATTCACATGTACTGGGTATATAGGGCTAGACCAGATAGACCAATCGGCAGACGATAAGTGATGTGTGTTAACCTCCCATGACTCTGCCTGGTACCCATTTGATGCTGGGTCGACCTGAGAGCTAATGTCATTTTTTGAGAAATGTCTGGCTCCGACTGGACCTAAACCCACGACCGTCGGATGGGCATGCGAGTGTATTTTCTGGAATACCTGCATATTTTTTTAGGTGTGTCTAGCGACTATGGATTTAATCAATAAAGCGCTGTCTAATGCATATTCTTCCACCGATCCATTTATGGAAAACAAAACAAATAATCTACCCCGTTCACCCTAGCGCGATCACTAGCATTTATAATTGTGGTCTGATTTATTTATACTAATTGTGTTGGCTAAGAACGAACGAACGAACGAACGAACAAACTTTATTTTCAAAGGGTTACAAATTGGGCACGCAGGCCCGTCTGACATTCGGCCCTTCTAAGTACTCATTTTTCAGAGTACTAATGTTAATTAGAAAGAAATGTTAATTGCACCAAAACTAGCGGTTTGGAGCAGTACTGTAGCATCTAGTGAGGTTGTTGGGGAGGGAGCTGGTGGGCATTCACACACACATACATGTATAATTACACACACACACACACACACACACATATATATATATATATATATATATATATATATATATATATATATATTTATATATATATAACAAATATGTCCGCACTTCCACGTAGGAATACACGTATACGTGTTTGTAAATGCACACACACACACACACACACATATATATATATATATATATATATATATATATACACACACACACACGTGTACGCCCAGGCGGGAATGCATGAATACGTGTCTGCATACACGCACATCTATATTTATATACACACGTTTAAGAAAGCCGCCGTGGTGTAACGGCCAGACGCTCAACTGTGGATCCGAAAGCCATGGGTCCAGAGCAAAACTTTTGTTGTTGTTGTAAATGACCCTGGCTACCAGGTTGACCCAGCCTTAAATGGGCACTTGTGTTGTAAATGACATAACCTATTTCGTATTATTTGTGCCCTGGTTACTAGTTTGGGTCTTTGGTTTGTATATGTGACACTTTATTATGACTAGTTCGGCTGTGGAAAAAAAATAACTGACGTATAGTATAGTGTATGATTTTTTAAAGATTTTTGGTCCTGTTTCCTGGTCCATCTACACAATATCTGACCTTTCATTCATACTATCTCCGACTTTTCTACGTCAGAGGAGTGTCACGTTGTCTTCCCACTAATTACATCAACCTCCCTACCCACAGCTTCAACCTAGGCCCCATGAGAGATTTTTTTTTTGAAGAAATCAGTACAACGTGACACCCCTCTGACCTAGATCAGACTGAGAAATTGTGTAGATGGGCCGGGAAACGTGAGCAGGTCCAAACTTTTGTATTTTCCAACAAAGAATAAAAACTCCTGCTCCTTTATAACTTTTCGATCAATCACCTCCTTGTATCTGCCTTATCTCAGAAGCTGCCTTCCACGAAGGCGGGTTCAGGACATTAAAGATGCAATATCTATGAAAGCACATAGGGCTAGATAACTGGCCAGAGAAACTTAGAGGTGTCCTGTTAAGAGAGCGACATTCTGTGAAGGATATGCTGATTGGTTGGTCTTCCTTTCAGACACAGCAATGGAGCTGACCACATTACTGGTTGCCGCTATCGTCTTTCTGATCGCCTTTTTCTGGCTGCGCCGACAAGGTCCACGCGTGCCTCCCAGCCCGTTGCGACCACTGCCCATCGTTGGTCATCTCTTCTACATGGCCAGCGACTGCAGGTCTCAGTTTCTGGAGTGGCGAGAGCGTTGTGGGGACATATATAGGTATGGGGCACGATAACAATTTTTTTATTTCCGTTTTTGTCTCTCTCTCTCTCTCTCTCTTTCTCTATCTATCTTTCTCAATCTCTCTCTTTCTCTCTCTCTCTCTCTCTCTCTCTCTCTCTCATACACACACACCCAGTTACACACACTCAAACACATATACACAAACACACACATAACCGTTTGTACATATGTGTATGAAACACTTTATTCACATATTTTTAAGAATGAGAAAAGTAATTTAAATAATTCTTTATTTCTCATCAACACAGCTTACTCAAAAGGCATTGAACAATTCATTACAATTAATTTCCTGCATTTATCCTCATTAACTATGTCTCATATGTTTTTCAGACTTTTATTACGAAGAAGACAATGGAAAAACAGAATTAGCGTTAACAAAGTACCTTATGGATGTTTGAAAGGTTGAACAAATAATGTCTTAACCATTACACACACACACAACTCCTCATTGTAACATTTGGAACAATTCATTGTAAACATCACAAGAAATAGGTGGGAACAGTGGGATGGGGTGGAGAAAAGGGGGGGGGGAGGGGGTGTCAATAAGTAAGTCACAAATCTTTGTTTTAAAAAAAGACGATAACAAACTGAAAACACTTTTATTTTTACACTTAGTCCCTTTATTTTTCACATAATTTTCACCAATACTGATGCATCTGTCCTTTTATCAGTCCTCTCAAACCTGCAGCATAGAACTGCTTGCTCTGTTTTCTGTTCGTCTGTCAATTGTCTGGGTATCCTCCTTGAGCACACTTTCTCCAATCGATCACGCATCATGTTGTATGCTGAACCACGTGAGCACCCTATTGCAGCTGCTACTGAGTCAACCGTTATTCGCTTGTCACCTTTAATCATCTCATCCACCCCCTGCACTGATGCGTCGCTTACAATCTCAACAGGACGACCAGATCAGACTTCACCAACAATTTCAGAGTGTCCTTAAAAACACCTTTTTGTTTTTAACCTAACTATGCTCTGCTTTACTGGATAATGTTGTCATCTAGTGTCACATTTGGAAACCACTAACTACAGTTTCCTGCCATCCCATAACCATTTGTGACTTACATATTGATCTACTCTTATAGAATCGAAATGATCATTATCCAAAATTTCCACTGTTGCCTTTAATCATCGCAGGAAAAAACAGTTTGCGCTCACTTGCTTTACGGATAGCAGTGGCAACTACTATTCCTTGTCGATGGTAGAAGGCCTAATGTCTTCAGCCAATTTTCTCTTGGGGCGATCTCTTGCTTTCATATCAGATCTTTTTATGTGTATTGCCTTTTGTTGGTAGTTGTTGTGGCTGCATTCTGCAGAGATGACTAAATAATTTTATCTTCGTTTTCTCAAGGAATTTGGTGCATGATTTTGTTTCCACAGTCTGATAGTAAACTTTCTCACGCTGTAATGAATAACATCCTACAGGATCTGAGCATGGAAGGGAACTGGCTCATAAACAGCAATCTTTCCCGAAAGTTGAGGTATTTTGAACCCGTTAAACTTCAGAGCCCGAATTGTGATGGAAGATACAGTTTCAAGAAAATAAATGTAGAAGCATCGGCTATGAAAGCACATATGGCTGGAGAACTTGACAGAGAACGATAGATATTGACGCTTTCCGTGACGAATATGACCTTCTGCAAAGGACCTGATGTTATTTTATTCTGAATGATAACAATTCTGTAGAATATTAGGAATGTTTGAAATGATGCCTGCGTTGTAAAAATATTTTCGGTGTTGAAAAACTGATCCGTTTCACTCACTTGTGAAGTTTCTCGGGAGACTTTAACGGCCACGCCACTCAGGAGGGCACGTGAGGATAATGATTATATTGTTTGCTTTACAAAAATATCATAATTATTTGTGTTTCACAATGAACAGCTGCATTAATAATTTCCATGTGTTATTTCCTCAAGATAATTAAATTAAGGTAATGTTTTTGTGTTTGTATAATCAACCCTTCTATGTCGTGGGGAAGCCTGGACAGTGAACATGTAACTACAACTCCCTGGAAATTTGGATATAGAGAAGAATATCTTGTATTTCATAGAAATGAAAATAATTCAATACAGAGCCTTGGCGAGACTAGGAATGAAAAGAGATTTACTGAAAAAAATATTTCGACATAACATATTTACAAAACAAATTAGAGGGAAAACGTCGAAGGCAAGCGAGCCAGAGGTAGGAAACGATACAAAGGAGGTAACAACATCAAAATATGAACGAAGGGTAGTCTGAAAGAGAGTGCAAACAATACAAAAGACAAGACGCGTTGTTGATATATTGCAGCCAACCTTTATTTTTGAGACGGCAGCTGATTGATTGACTGCATGTTTCCAACAGCCTGTACCTAGGAGGAACTCTGGTGGTGGTACTTAACGGCTTCGACCTGATCAAGGAGGTCCTGGTCAAGAAGGCAGACATCTTCTCTGACAGGCCGTCATATTTTGCTAACGAGGTTTGTGATGTCAATACTTTTTACTACCTTGATGGTTTCCATTGCTATTATAAAGGACTAACCTCCATGACTGTAGCTTAGGGGTTGCGAACGTGCTTAGTAACTGCTGGGTACCCAGTTCGATTCAAGCTGCAGACGATTTGGCAGCAGACTTCTTTGCGTTCATTTCGACAATGGCATCGACAGTCAACATTCTAGTAAGAATGGCACACTACGTAATGTTGTCAAATGAGAAACATGTATAGGGATTGTTCTGTAACGTCCAGTAAATGAGACGCAATTACATTTTTTTGTTGTTGTCTTTAACAGAAACATATAACAACAGGATGCATTTGTCATGCCCAGGTGCGTATTGCATGGCCTCTTTCTGGCGGTAAGCAACCGTCCTGGCTACGACATAATTTAGTTTTAACCATAATTAACTACAGACTGTGGGTGAGTACCGGCACCCTTTTTTTCTCCCCCCCCCCCCCCAGAAGAACTCTTTGGGTGCTGGATTTTGTTTACAGTCTCAAAAGGTTTCAACCAATTGACTCTCAATGGAGATGTAGTGAAAACCACCCTACTGCTTCTACTGGTAGAATATTTATTGGCACCCAAGCTGTGTGGACCATGCACCCAATAATTTTTCTTCAATTAGGCTTTAACTTTATCATGTTGCAATGACCAACAAATTCAGCTCAAAATTAATTATGTCCAGAAACAGTTCAAGACTCACATTCACAAGGCCCTACATGCAGATGACCTGGCCAATTGGACCCAAGCTGAACATATAGGAACAAATAAACAAGAATGCGAAAGCTTTAATACAGTTAAGAAATGGACAGACTCTTAGAGTCACAATAAACCAGACTAAAAACTGTCTCAACTCTCTTCTCTCTTTCCACAAAGACAGAACAAGTTGATCTGCACCTAGAAGGCAACATCCTTCCAAAAGAGGATAACCCCACATATTTGGAAGTACAATTAGCCAAAAGGCTAACCTGGGGCACCCACATTGAAGACACCCAAAAAAAAAAAAACTACCCTACGGCTCAGACTTATGAAGAAACTTACTGGAACAAGCCTGGGTGCTGATGCCAACACTGTGTGACAAGTATACACTGGATACGTACTACCAAACATTGAGTATGGCATGGGCGCATACTTCAATGTAGACAAATCAAACTTGAAAAAAAAAAAAACCGAGTCAAAATCAGAACACTAGTCTCAGAATCATCACTAGAGGTATGAGAAGCACACCAGTCAATGGGCTGGAGGCAACTTCTGGCCTCCAGAGCTTGAGCCTTCGAAGAGACGAAAAACTGCTTACCCTGAAAAATGTAAATGCATTCCAGACATGGACAGAAAGGCTGAAGAACGTGACCTAGTACTGCGTGCAAAGACCCTTGAACATGTTTACAAATCTTATCCAAAATCCGAATGGACACACGTATACACCGATGAATCATTGAAAGGAGAAAAAAAAAACAGAGGAACGGTAATCATGCTGCAAGTTGGAATCACAGTAGAAACATCATGTGCCTCCGAAAGACTCAACAAATTTCAGAGCAGAGCAGCAAGCAATTACTGATTCAGCCAAAGTGCTTGTTGAGAGAAAAGTTAAAAACAGCAAAATTGTTTTCCTTTGTGACTTATGTCAGTCCTCCAGGTGACTTATAGGGATCCACGAGACAACATGGAAAGAGAACTGACCCGTCAGTTAAACAGACTCACAGAAAACAATCAAATCGTTCTCTAGTGGATCCCGGCTCACTGCAGACAGACTTGAATTGCCTCGAAGTCTGCCTAACAACTTACCAGGCTTCACTTTGCCATCAAGTAGTTGAGTTAGAGTCAAAAGTGATTTACATTAATGTTAAGAGAAAGCAAATCGATTAAACAAATCGAATGTGTATTATTACCCCCCCCCCCCCCCCCCCCCCCCCCCGCCCCCCCCCCCCTTTCCGGAAAAAAATGTTTATATTTTAGTTCGAATTAAACATAACATTATACACGTTTATGCCTTTATTCACAGTCAGTTGGAATGAATGACAAAGGCGTCATTTTCTCAAATGGGGCAAACTGGAAGGAGCAGAGATCAGTGGGCTTGTCCATCCTCAGGGCTTTTGGAATGGGCAAAAATCTTTTAGCAGAAAAGATACAGGATGAGGTAGCTTGTTATATCAAGTATTTGGCAAGTCTCAGTGGGAAACCCGCTGACATCCGGGTTATGACTAATATTAGCACAGCCAACATTATTTGTTCCATTTTGATTGGTCACAGATTTGAATACGATGACAAGGAGTTTCAGGAACTGATGCACAAACTGACTTCTCTTGTCAACGATCAACAAAATACCAGCGTTGTAAACTTTTTCTATTGGTTGAAGTTTTTACCAGGAGATCTTTTCATGGCTAAGAGAATAGAAAGGAACATGAGGGCAATCATGTCCTTGTTGATGCAGTTTATTGAAGAAAAGTCACGGCATGTAGATAATGCCGACGATGTGTGTAACCTCATTGATGCTTATCTCATTGAAAGAAATAAGAAAATTCAATCCGGTGAACCTACTTCACTTGATGATCAGAACTTACTGAAAATCATGATGGATCTTTTTGCAGCAGGAACTGAGACTACAAGCACGACCATCTATTGGTGTATTCTGTACATGCTGAGACATCCAGACGTGCAGGAAAAAGTGTACCAGGAAATCAAAGATAAGGTGGGAACAGATCGGGCGCCAACCATACAGGACAAGACACAGCTGGTCTACCTGAACGCAGTTATCATGGAAGCTCAACGTCTGGCCAGTATTGTCCCCCTTTCCCTAACTCACATCTGCTCGGAAGAAGTTACTCTAAACGGGTACACAATTCCGAAAGGAACGTATATCCTTCCAAATCTAGACACAGCCCTACACGACAAGGCCACATGGGGTGAGGACGCATCCAGCTTCAGACCTGAACGTTTCATTGACGACCACGGCAAGCTGCAGATCCCTGAACAATTCATCCCCTTTGGTATTGGACGTCGTGTGTGTCTGGGCGAGGCTATTGCCAAGATGGAACTGTTTCTGTTTCTGGCGACCATGTTCCAGAGGTTCCACTTCTTGCCAGCTGCTTCATGTTTGAACCAGCCGATCAAGTGTGACTGCGGCATTGTTATTGCCCCTAAGCCGTACAAAGTAAAGGCAATTGAAAGAAGATAGAACAGCCAATGGCGTGATAAGTATAGTAGAGGTAATAATATTACCTTACTGTAAATCACAGAAACTGTTCAAAGTCGTTCATAGTTGTTTATTTACAAACTATTAATTTGCTTTCTATATAATAACAAAATAAACCACTTGGTTTATCCTAACATTTCAATTATTCTGATAGCTTGTCTCATCGTTAAATGAATTTATTGTTAACTATTCCATGTACTTATAATACAATACTGAGAATGCCTTGTTTTTATATTGTTAAACTGATCTTATCAATAATGTGTGACCTATCAAATACTTTTTCTCCTTTACAAACATATTTTATCTACTTACTGTTTGCTGTTTGATGCTCTTAAATTTTGATACTGCTTGCCAACTTTATTTTCCCAGAAGCAGTTTAAAATTTAAAGTTGCCCCACTTGGTTTCACTGCCAGGTTTCATGCCTCGGCCTGGACCCTTCATGTTGGTGTTAGTGAACGCCTCTGCCAGATTGAGGAACGATGTGCCACTTTGCGCATGCGCTGTATTGCTGACAATCACCTACTCCAACTGTCCGTGCTCAGATCGCGCATCACCGATTTATATAAAGTATCCTTTACAGGACGTTGCAGAACCAACCCTAACAGCCCCTGGCTGTTGTGTGGCTTCTCTAGGCAAATTTACGTCCAGTAGTTTGCCATTGCTTCCTGATACCACTGTCGAAACCAAGACAAGACGCATTGCCCGCAGTTGGGATCGAACCCGGTATCCCGGGATTACGAAGCGAAGCGTTCGCATCGACTTAGCCACAGAGCCGACACCGATTTGGATAGACGTTTATTTAAAAGAAATTCTAATTAATATTTTCCTAATTGTGTTATACGGTGTATTATCAACAGCAACAACCATTTATATTGATGCCTGTCCACAGCCAAGCACATTACACTGACCAAACTCCGCCCCACCCCACCTAATCTCTCATCATCCCCACCTCCGGCGCTGACAACCGGGTGGTCTGTATACATCCGGACCTACCTCTGTACGCGTCCGAGATTTCGGTCGTCAGTAAGGGCCTCCGGTTCGTACCCTTACGCCCTTTAGGACTCTCACAACTTTTTCGCAGGCTCAGGTTGCAGTATGATCCCAGAACTCGACCCGAGAGAACGAATGCAAATGTGCCGACTAACTCTGCTGTCTGGTTTCCAGGACTTAGGTCTTTCTGGACCCCTAGCCATGTGCGGTCTATAGCTTCAGATCTATTCATTGAGAAAACTTTTTTTTTTTTTTTTTTTGAGAATAATAAATTGAAATTCAAACCACTCAAAATATTTATACAGGCAGTAAGGGGACAGGCAACTTAGTGACACTTCGTTCTATGAACTCCAGACACAGAATGACACGGTAAAAATAAAATAACAAAATAGTAAAGAGTACCATCACAACCTTCATCCAGGAAGATCTTCTGAATCCGCTGGCCAGCTTTCTTTTTGTCGAGGACAGTTGTCTGGGGAAGCCCGACATCTATATATATATCTCCCCTTCGTAGGTGCATTGTCTGGATTTCATTGTCACCGTAGACTCTGTAGGCCTCAACACCTCGTTGTTGTGTAAGCCTACTGATTCCCATGCTTTTCTTCTCTACATGTCCTCCCGTCCCTCTTCCAGCTTATGCGCATCCACAGACTGTGTCAGGAGAACAACGACTTTTATCATCAGACCCTAGAAATACTCGACTTTTTCCGGCTTATAGGTTACAGTGAACTTGTCTAATCTGCTCCCTTTCACCTATCACGGTCTATCAATGGTGGTCAGGCTCTCGTGTCAGAGGCTAAACGAAAAAACACAACAGAAATATCCTATCACTTACCTACCACCCACACAACATTCGTGCTAAAAATTTTCTCCTCAGGCATCTCGCTGTCATTAGGGTCCACCCTGTCACCAGCACGATTTTCTATGAACGTCCTCTAAAGGCTTTCATAAAGGTTATTGCGTATCCTTTACAGGACGTTGCAGAATCAACCCCATCAGCCCCTGGCTGATGAGTGGTTTTACTAGGCAAATTTACGTCCAGTAGTTTGCCATTGCTTCCTGGACTGTCGGCTCCCTGATACCACTGTCGAAACCACCGCAAGGCGTATTGCCCGCAGCTGGGATCGAAACCGGTACCCCGGCATTACCAAGCGTTCGCATCGACCAAGCTACAGAGCCGACAAAGGCCTACATACATGATTGTAACATAAATTACGTTCTGGTCAAGAGTCAGTTACCCCTGCGTCTTAGCCCAGTTCGGCACGGTCTCCTGTCATACACATACATGCAGGACGTGTCCATATGTGGTCCAGGGGAACAGTCTGGAATTCTCGATTGCTACCTTCCACATACGGGAGGCATTCTATTGCACAAGCCGCAGTATCGTGTAGGCCACAAGATATGTGGCATTAAATACATCGGTGAAATGGGTCTACGACATGCTGACAGGTTCAGACATCTTTTGGGTGTTCAGAACGGTGTCCTGAAATCAGCAGTGTTTTTCACACTGAGGATCACTAAGGTATCCGGGACATTGAGGTAATTGAATCTAGCCACTCCAGCGACAGAGTCCGCAAGTCTCTTGAGAATCCGTTCATTTTTCCTTGACATTATCGGGCTATTTATTCTTGGGTCGCACGTGTCTTTTAATTCCACTGGACAGACATCAACGGGGCTGCTTCGGGATATGCCAGTTAAGTCATTTTGTGTGTTCGTGCGGTTTTGTTTGACTTTTGTATGTGCCAATAAATGCTCAGTAACCGTAACGTTCCTTTTCGGTTTGCGTCTGTTATATTAGAAAGATCGCTGATGTACTCTTGATTCAGTTTTACATCTTGTCCTGAAAAAAATGATATACGTAACACACACACACACACACACACACACACACACACACACACACCACAACAGTAGTTACAACAATAATAGACAAAGTGCAAATATAATCTACACAACAACAACAATAACAAGAATAAGTTAGTTTTTAAACTCAAAGACAACTTATCACAAACATCTGAAAGAGCCAGTCATCATTTCTTGGTCATGTGAGAAGAAGTTTCTTGGTCATGTGAGAAGAAGTTTCTTGGTCATGTGGGAAGAAGTTTCTTGGTCATGTGAGAAGAAGTTTCTTGGTCATGTGAGAAGAAGGACACTGGAACATGGTGTGACCACTGAAAAGATCAGTGGAAAGAGAGACCGAGGAAGACAGCGTGAGATAGTTTTTGACTGCCTTTTATCATGGCACTGAGGGGTGTCAACACACGAACTGGTACAAGCAGCTGCGGATCGTAGATAGTGTAGAGGCATGATCACCAACGCTGGACGACAAGACACTTGATGATGATGGGGAGAATGTCTTAGGGGTTGTAGTAGTAATACATTTATTTTCTGCCCAGCAATGAGACGTCTTTGTGCCAAACCATTAGGTTGAAGTACTTGGACCCCCTGACAAGAGCAGATGGAAGAAATGGTCATAATTTATATGTAGAATTCCTCTCGTTAGTGTAGCCCTTCACAAAATAAACATTCGTCTTCCTTTTCTCCTTTTTCTTCGCGTTCACTGTGTGAACTCCGGCGGACAGTTTGGGGTATTCGTCCACCTCCGGACTTCCGTCTTCTAACATAACCTGTGTGTTGTGTGCAAATCGTTTCACACATTAGACCTATGATGTATCCAGACTCTTGGTTCTTTGCCTCTCAGGCATTGGTACTCTGACTTCGGGAGTGGTAGGGTGGGGAGTGGGGGGGGGGTAGGGGGGGGGAGAGAATAGTTCGAACGAGCTCCAAACAATGTCTATTTCTTTCTAAGTCGGAGTAGATCTGCATGGGAGGCGAGAAACCAACAGACTGCACATAAATATGCCAGATCTGTAAAACGGGTGTCTAATCAAAGCTCAAGCCATAGAACAAGAAATGTGGACAACAGCTTATAGCCTGCAAGCGCTAATGATGATGATGCTGAGGATGATGATGATGATGATGATGATAATGATGATGATGATAATAGTAGTAATATTAGGAATAAGAATTACTGAGCTGAGAAAGAGAATCTTTAAGAGCTAAGTAGAGTTAATGTTGATGAAAGGAGCTAATTCATTCATTCAGTAGCATGTCCTTCGCGGAACCTCGCTGCCATAACAACCCTCCGGAAAACCTTCCTATCATGAGCAAGATGTCCTGCGTCTGATACACCCATCTGGAGATCATCTGCCACATCCTGCACCCATCTTCTCCTTGGCCTTCCTCTTCCTCTCTTCCCAGGCATATACCCCTCCATTATTGTTCTCTCTAGACCTCCATGACGTTTCAAGTGACCAAAATATTTCAATTTTCTTTGTTTTATTGTCTTTACTAGCCAACCCTCTTCAATATTCAGCTCTTGAAGTATGGATGCATTTGTTCTTTTCTTTACCCAAGATATTCTTAGAACCTGTCTGTAACATTTATATTCAAATGCATTTATGCGCTGTTCCGCTTGTTTAGTAAGTGTCCAGGTCTCACAGGCGTATGTTGCAATGGGAAAGATGCATGCTCTTAAAAATCTGACCTTTGTAATTCTATCTGTACAATTCCATAATTAATTCAGTTGTTTTAGTCTTTGAAGAGCAATTGATAGTCGCCGTTTAATTTCTTTCATTGTGTCACCATTGTTGGTAACCAGTGACCCAAGATATTCGAAATTTTCCACCACTTCCAATCTTTCCTCATTAACATATATTTCCTTCTCCATGGCAGTTTTGTTTGTATGCATTATCTTTGATTTTGCTGTGTTAAAAAATAAGTTATGATTTTCACTATTTCTTTGGAGTGAGGTTAATAAGTTTTCTAAACCATTTTGTGATGTTGATAGTAATACTGTATCATCAGCATAACGAATTTCTGGTATTTCATGACCACCGATGTTTAGGGCATCATATTGTTCCTTGTTTATATCATCTCTTACATTTCTCATTATATTTTCGGCGTACAGGTTGAACAAATACGGTGACAGCACACATCCCTGACGGACTCCTTGCTTGATGCCAAACCAGTCTGATGTCTCTCCATCTATTCTGACTGCTGCTTGTTGGTCTTGATAGAGCATTTTAATGAGCTGCACTATATGTGATGGAAAGCCCATATTCCTCATTATTTCCCAAAGCTTCTGATGTTGTACACAGTCAAATGCTTTTGAATAATCCACAAAACATAAGAACAGATTTAGATTAAATTCTCTACACTTCTCTATTATTAAACGCATGGTAAATATATGATCTCTTGTTCCTCTTCCCTGTCTAAATCCAGCCTGAGCTACATTAATCTCTTCTTCCATTTTCTTTTGCAGTCTTCTCATTATAATTTTTAGTAGAATTTTACTTGCATGACTGATCAGGGCAATAGTTCGATAGTTTGTACATAATTTCAGGTCACTCTTTTTTGGTATTGGAATGAAGATAGTTCTCTTCCAGTCTTTTGGCCAAATACCATATTTCCATATCTTTTCACATAATGCATGATAGATTTTTATGCTTTCTTCTCCTCCCGCTTTAATCAATTCAGCTGGTATCTCATCACATCCAGGTGATTTACCATTTTTCAGGCTCCTTATTGCCCATGAAATTTCATCTAATGAAGGTTCAGGTTCTGCCTCTACTGTTTCTGGTTCATGTATATCATTCATATCCTCACTGTCATTCATATCATACATTCCGCTGCAGTATTCCTGCCATCTTCCTAGAATTTGTCTAGATTCTGTTAAAGTATTTTCCAACTTGTCACAAATAACATTTAACTGAGGTTGAAAATTTCTTGTCAATAACTTCATTTCCTTGAACATTTCGTAATCTCTTCCATTTTTGTGATGCTGCTCTATTTTAATACAGCAATCTTGTACATACTGATTTTTATCCTTTCTTGTGTACTTTCTTATTTCTCGTGTTAAAAATTTATACTTCATCCTACTGTCATTGGTTTCTCCTTTCTTTTTCAGTTCCCTTCGTTGTTTTATTAGTTCTAACGTGTATGGTGTGATCCATGGTTTATTTTGCTTAGTCCTGGTGGGTATTAAGTCTTTAGCTGCTGTTATCAAGATATCCCTAGCTTGTACCGCCAGTTCATCAGGTGTCATTTCCTCTTGTACAGACATCAAGACCTCAAAACGGTTCTTCACTTCTACGTTGTATGCATCTGGTATTTTTGTGAGATCAAATCGAAATGGCCTTGGTCCTTGGGTAAGCTTTTTGAGTTTTAATTTCAGATCTGCTTCTAGTAACTGATGATCTGTATCGCAATCTGCACTTCGCAGGGTTTTTGCAGATGTTATGCTCGATCTCCATCTTCTTTGTATTAAAATGTAATCTATCTGATTTTTGGTAACACCGTCAGGGGATGTCCATGTGAAAAGCCTTCTAGGGTGTTGTTTATAAAGTGTGTTAGCTATTGTTAATTCATTTTCTATGCAAAATGCAATCAATTTTTCTCCCGTTTCATTTCTATTACCCAATCCAAATTTTCCTAAAAAAGGAGCTAATTAGTGAGAGAAAAAATTAGATGATTACCAGCATTAGAATAAGATGAACGTTCTATTGTCCCACAATAAGAAAGTCACAACTTTCATCAATATAACTGCACGAAAGTCGGAGAGGAAGATCGCCAGGTGGATATTAAGGTAAACAGTGGTGGACAATCTACCATGAGGGTCTAATAAAGCACAAACTACGCAGATCTAGCGACGACCCTGGTTGATCTCTGTAAAAATTTCAGTCATGAACTAAGCGAGGCGTTTGTGAAAGGAACTCACGACTTTTAGAGTGAGACGGAAAAAGCTTGATCGCTTCCCCACAAAGACCCCCGAACGAACTGAAAATGGATTGATTTTTGGTCAAAGCATATTTTTGGGAATAGGAACAGACGCAAACTAGCTAAAACAATTCTGATTATAAAAGCAATGATGATAAATATTGTCCCAGGAACAGAGGAGTTTGATATAAGTTGGGTTGTCCTCAAGGTACTCTAGTCATGTTCATAGATGCTCATGTTCCCTAACCAGTGTTTCGTGACATCATCATCAAGCGACTAATTGTAGTGGGGCTATGCATCTTGTGCCGTGTCAGTGTTATCACTTTCTCTCGACCATCCTCACGAGATAAGGTTTTGGAGCTATCACGGCTCCAGCTGTGTATTCTAATGGCGGGATGTTGTCTGGCGTTGCTGGGAGAAATTGGAATCTCTGGAACATGTTGGAGAGAAACTGGAACAATTCCATTTTGGCCAAGCTTTCCCCCAGGCAGACACGGCGGCCAGTTCCGAACGGCATAAACTGTTCGGAGTTGGCTAGAGCGCCGTTGTTGTCAATGAATCGTTCTGGTCTGAAATTCAAAGCATCCTCTCCCCAAGTAGCCTTGTCGTGATGGACTGAGTCCAGGTTAGGAATGATCCAGGTTCCCTTAGGCACTGTGTAGCCCCTCAAAGTGACCTCTTCAGAACACACGTGGGTCACAGCTAAAGGAACAATACTAGCCAGACGTTGGGTTTCCAAAATTACAGCATTCAGATATGTCAGTTGATTCTTGTCCTGTATGGTTGGGGGTCGATCAGTTCCCACTGTATCTTTGATCTCACAAAAAACTTTTTCTTGCACTTCCGGGTAATTTAACATATACAGTACGCACCAGTAGATCGTAGTGCTAGTGGTCTCTGTTCCAGCCGTAAAAAGATCAGTTATAATTTTAGTTAAATTATCATCATCAAGTGTGGTCGGTATCCCTGCCTGGATTTTCTTGTTTCTTTCAATTAGGTATGCATCAATAAAATTACTGACATCGTACGAATCTTCTATAGCATGCTTCTTGTCCTCGACAATTGTGGCTAGACTGTTTATTACCCCTCGGGAATTTGCAGCTATGCTTTTTCCTTTAAAGAAATCTCCAGGAATGTATTTCAGCCACTCGACAAATTGAATAAGCCCAATAAACTGTTGTTGGCCGACAACTAAAGCCAGTTTATGGATTAGATCTTGGAATTTCCTATCGTCGTACTCAAACCGGTTACCAAACATGATGGAGCAAATTATGTTGGACGTGCTAACGTTCATCATCATCCTGAAATCTATAGGCTTTCCTTTCAGGTCTGACAGATACTTAATGAAACAGCCAACCTCTTCTTGAATCTTTTCTGCCAGAAAATTCTTCCCCATACCGAAAGCTCTGAGGATGGACAAGGAGACACTTCTTTGCTCTTTCCACAGTTTCCCACTGGCGAATATAACTCCTTTCCCGGGTAATCCAGTAGCCTGTATAGAAGAATCAACATATATGTAATTAACACACACTACTGTAATGCCGATATGTAGGAATGTTGACACTGCATTTATCTGTATTTCTGAAGAAGCCTGACAACTTGATTTGTCTTGTGTGACTACCTTCTTGTAACCTCTGTCTGAATCGGTATTTCCCAATCGCATATGGGAGTGTCCCAGGTGCTGTAATGTCGATTCATAACTCAACATTCAACATTCCTATTCAGAGAGGGGTGTTTGCTATATTGCATTTCAAAAGGTATGCCCTCAAACTTAAAAAATTTCTCGAAAATTCCTACACGAATCAACATGACTTGTTGCAAGTGGCCTTATATTGTCCATGTCCTTATGCTTTAATTAATTGCAAGTGCACATGTTTTGCTGTTAAGTTACAAATTATGAAAGTAAGGCACGCATTCTGATATTGACTATAGAGTATACATTTATAATTTATATCTTAACGGAAAACGTTTCTTGTATATTCAGTAGAAGCATCTGGTAGCTGTCCTTGTCTTCCTCGGAGTCTTTGTCATCATCATCATCATCATCATCATCATAATCGGCATCAGCTTTCACGTTTACCATTTAGCCACTTAGGGAGCAACAGTTTGGGGTCCACTGATTGGTTGTTGGCACTGACTGTAATCTATGCGGATGTACAGTCTTTATTGTCACCAGTCCACATCTCTTTCTGTACCCTCTTCGTTTAACATCTAATCTTTGGATTCATGATACTTTTTCTAGGTAAATGCTGCGGCTGTATTTCAGCGAGATGACCTAACAATACGATCTTCTGTTTCTCAGTGGCTTTAAGACAATGCACTGTCCCCACATAATCTCTGGCACTCGATCTCAGAAGGTTACGTTTGTGGTGTCTCTCAACCATCACCTCTCAGGTGTTAATTCTAGTATGCGAAGCTATAATACTCTTCTCTTTTTGACACTGGGAACACGGTATGTTGATATGAATAGTCCCTTTATAATCTCATTTTTAAAGTAATTTACACAAATAGGACATAATATTACGAATGTGCGTGTTAATGGTACTACAAACAAACAAGTACGAGTATACAAATATCTAGGAAGCATAATTACGAACGATGGCAGACTCGAAAGAGATATATAAGCCCGAGTACAGAAGGCACATGATCTCACTGCCCCACTGCTTAGACACGCAACTGTCTCCCTTCCGGCAAAATGGCAAATGATTAATAGCCTCTTTATCCTTACTTTATGTTATCAGTGCCAAACATGGACAATTATTTGGGCAATAGAACAGAGACAAACATCTATATCTGAAATTCACTGTCTCCGCAAGGTATCTAGCAACAACACTAGACGAGACAGGGTTACGAATACCAGCATGAGAAACTTGGAATAAGACCATGTCTGAATTATATTGACAGATAGAGAATGAAATAGTTTAGCCATCTAATAAGAATGCAGCCAGACCAGACTGCATACGATACTTTCTACAGCAACATCTGGGAGAAAGGAGAGAGGAAGACCAAGAATAAAATGATTAAATTCGTGTAGCTGAAACCTGCACAAAGTTGAACAAATCCATCACTCAAGACATCCGAAAAGCACAAGACAAATACAGAAAACCCCGACACTGGGCTACAACCTGGTATCAATGAGACGACAAAACCATGAGACTAGGCTACAACCTAGTAACGGTGAGACGACAAAACCACGACACTGAGCTACAACCTAATATCAGTGAGACGACAAAATCACGACACTGGGCTACAACCTGGTATCAGTGAGACGACAAAACCACGACACTGAGCAACAACCTGGTACCAGTGAGACGACGAAAGAAAGAAGAAGACTTAAGTAGGTAAAACGGCTTGGATAACAAAATAACTAGAAGCAAGTATTTCTGAATTACCAGGTGTACAACTTTACAACAGGTACACACCTTGTCGCTTAAAATCGGTGGCCTGTCAGAGAAAATGTCTGCTCTCTTGACCAAGGCTTCGTTGATGACGTCATAACCGTTGAGAACAACCACCAGTTTTTCAGCCATGTACAAGCTGTGTACACAAATTTTAAAAATATCACTGATTTTGTTGGTAACATCGATATTATTTTTAAATAAATATTTTCATTAAGCTCAAGAAGATATTTTGTGTTTATGGAATCACAGTAACTAGCAGTGGTGGCACAGGCGGTTAGAACGTTTTTTTTTTTCCCTTCAAAAAATACCTTTGGCTTCCAATTGGACCTAGCTTCAAACAGCTACAAGATAAAGTCCGGGGAATAGAAACTGATCACATCACCAATCGAGTAGATTGGTCTATAAAATATTTGTAGCACTATAAGCCCAATACATCAACACTACATGAATAATTTGAAAGATCACAATGGGAATAGGATAAATAATGATGAGAAAATATGTAGCAGATGGAACGAATACTTTGATGAATTCATTAATTGTTTAAATCACAACTGATCAGGGGCATTATGGGAGCTAACAGACTGAAGTGGCTGGGATAAACTGAGAACATGTCAGATTACAGAGACGTTAAACGTTACAGAATGGGGTTTGATTAATCGTAGACCACGAGGCAAACCAAGAAGACGATGGAAAGATAATGTCTAGATAGACTTGCAAACACTGGTGTTGCCAACGAGAAAGAGAAGGCGAACCAGAAAGATGACTGGAGGACGGTGACATCTGCAGCAAGGGCTCGGAATACTAAAGAAGAAAAAGAAGAAGATTTGAAATTCACAAATCCTCTCTCGAGTATTCGTCATCCTCCTTTCTCGGCACCATCAGACAGAACTTCAAACATAACTCTTCTTTCTCGCTTGCTCTTTATTTTATAACTTTTTTTTATTCCCTGTGTATTTATGACGTCTTCATTCATCCATCTCTTGAATCACTAGACAACATTTACTGCACACATCCCTCAAATTTTTCATGTTTGTCGTGACTCTCGCTCACGCAATATGTGGCACATAATTTGTCATCAGTAAGTTGAAATAATTTATGCTAAATAATTTGTCCTAATATTTTCCTGCAAAAATGAGAAAATATATCCTTACAATGTGCCTTATGTGTTCTGGCTTCTTTCTCTCTTTTAAGTCTGCAATCGTCCGTAAATATGCTTCCTAAATATTTTAATTCTTCTTTAAGCTTGAAACCAGTTATATGAAGGTTCATGCTATAATGTTTAGTGACTATTCTTATTACCTCAGTTTTCGAGGTGTTTATTTTCATATCATACATTGTGCAGGTTTGGTGTCGTAAATTCTACTCCTAATGATGTATTACAGTTAGTTCAATATCTCATAAACACACTTGCAGGCTATTTTCTCCAAATCTGAATTTAAGATAGCAAAGATTATTTTGCATGTAGCCTTAGAATGTTCATGACGTTAAAGAAATATTTTTGTTTTTCAGTAAAGAAGAATATCATCTGTAGTTTTTATATAGATTCATATTTTTATCATGAAACTGTCTTGGTAGACTTTTGGAAGGTTTACTTTAATTAGTTTCAGGAAGCAATGCACACTATGACTTGTCTAACAGGGGTCAAAGAAACCCTACATAATTTCATGATTTACCTGTGCAAAGTCGCACTCTTAGTGACCTGACGCCAATATAAGACGTCGGTCAAGGTTGTTTGGTTAAAAGTGCATCCACAAATTAGTGCAGGGTTATTGTGTCATGCAGCAGAGGTCAATTTCAAATTGAATATGTGATGCAAAATTATAACTATGCAGAAGGTTCCCGTTTTACTGTACCAGCACTTCTTTGGGAAATCTAAGATGGGTCATTTATATTGTGAGATCATGACCCAGAGAAACGAGCACGATTGGTGCTTGGTAGAGCCTCATTTACCCGCTAGATTAGACAGGACACAGAGTACACTCATGTCAAGCAAGGAAGGAAAATAAAAGTTGATGACTTGTAGATGTCATTAGACGTGAGATCTTAACAATGTCAGAGACAAATTAATTTATTATTCTCCGAAAATTGAAACTGACAATGCCGAAAAGAACAGAATGTTTAAAATGAGTGATGTTGAAGTTCTAACACGTGAGTCCCTCTCAAAAATAGACATTCATTTCTGGAAAAAGTGTGCTGAACATTTGTTCAGGCAGGAAGACGAGTACTGTCACCGAGATAGATCACAATTTGTTCAGCCAGTAACAGTTATCAACACTTTGGGATCGTCAGATTCACAATGATTAAAACCATTTTTTTTTTTTTTGGGTGATTGGTTCAATATCATCAACCACATCTACACTTGCAACAAATACATCTCCACATCCAAATGTGTTAACTATAATACAGTCTGCTGTGCAGTTCAGATACACTAGGAACATGTTTACAACTGAACAAGTCAGACAGATTGGCTGGATCTGCACCACTAAGTAATGAGTTGATATATGACAAGGCAGATGTGGCTAAGGCCTTTTGGGAACCCAAAAAAAAAATAAAAAAATAAAGTCAGAACAGAAAATAGTTTATCATCGCCTGGAGAGATTGATACCCCTGGGTGTAACCAGAGGGTCTTGCCGGCACACTACACTCAGAGGAAATGCGAGATGGACACATAATCAGACTGCATCAGGTACCATGAGTATTGAAACTCTGAGCTGGCTGCTGAACATGGGGACGGAGCGCATAATGTCCTGAGGGCTGTTACGTCTTTCATGGCTCAGCTCAACTCAGCTCAGGTAAACATAAAAAAAAATTACCATACCTATCGATGTATTATGAAGACACGATTCTGAAGACAAATATAACCGGAAATTCCGATTTTTACGGTTAAATCTAAACGTTCACTCCACTCATTTACAATAGTTTAAAAAGATCAAAGAAATTAGCAGGCATTCAGCATGCTGTGCATCACTGAACTGAAGAATACCACTAGTTTTACGTGGATATTCTAAGACTGTCTGCATCAAATCGTTGATATCTAACAGGCATTTTTAGAGAGGGCTTGCAAGTGTGTTCATGAGATAGACACTGATCCTCTAAAAAAAAAAAAAAACACATTTCACTGATTCTTCAGTGTCTGTGTAACTTTATCGTAGTTGCACATACTGTGTGTTCAATGGACTTAACAAAAATGTCCACAAATTGTGTTAGCATGTCTGAAGATGTTCTCAGATTACGCAGACTTACCTAAAACAATCTACACATTGCATGCACTTCCCCAGAACTGTTCTCACATTTTTAAACTTACCTGAAGAGATCGCCACATTTCTGTCGCCACTCCCTGAACAAAACACGGTAATCTTCCTTCATGGAGAGAATGTTGCCCACAAACGGCAACGGTCGAGTTGGGAAAGGCGGGAGACGTGGATCAGGCTTGCGGAAGATCGCGTAGATAATTAGAAGAATAGCACTGGCTATTAAAAGCGTTGTTATTTCCATCTTTTTTGGCCGACTTTCTGAAAATAAAGCAGTGTTAACATCTGTAAATGCAACATTTTGTTATGTTATCACAGTTGTCGTCTTTGCACACTAGGCATCACTATGCGTGCTCAGTCCTTCGATGCAGAATCCACTCCAAGGTGCCTCTACTGCTTGTTGCCATGAGGAGTTGGTGATAGTATCTCCGTTTTTTTTATCTCGAAGACTGCATAGTTGTGCTTCACCAAGCTTAAATTCTTTATCACACAATCGTGTTAGCTTTGCATTATTCCCTAACATAGTCCATTAAACTTAGATTATATCAGTTCTGTCCATGCCACGCCCTATTTGCATTGGTGCATAACTTGCCAGTTGGTCAGCTCTTTTCTTACCATTTACTCCTGAATACCCATGTGTGAAAACCCAGATGATAGAGGTCAACTGCGATTTCTTAATTCTTTCTACTTATTTGGAGCTGAGACTACCTGTAGCGATTTTCTGAAGCATGTTCATAGAGTCTGAATGACTGCCGCATGTGAGTTCTGCTACCCGTGTGAGTGATCTGGAAACAGAAGTTATCTTCATGGTTGGTCATGCTTTCCTTTGTCGTCTAGTTTGGTTTTTCCCATCCATTGTGCTGTGTATGCCCTTGCTGATCTTGATCCGCTTTTCAAGAACCCATCTGAGTAAATGACAACGTTTTCTAGGGGCGAATACTCATCAATCAGTGCCCTAATCTCGGCGTGTATGGTTGCGGGCATCTGACTCCTGTGGTTTCTCCCCGGTGTTATGACAACCTTAGTCACGTCATGCATGTCTACTGGTGTATCCATCCATTTTTTTCCATGACTGATCTCGTCTAGCGCACATACTTGCTGGATTTGATTTTTTGCTTCGGCCATCCAGAAGAAGCCTCTTTTGAGACTCATCCCTTTTATATCAATAACGCTGTGTAGTGGGTGGTTGGTGTCTACTGATATCCTCTTGTACGCTTTCACCTGTGTCGCTTTATGTCTGGTGGCCATCGTTGTCCAGTCAAGGACATAACGCATGGCATGGCACGAGATGTCTTTTGTACAGCTTAGTATAAGTCTCATTTTGTGCCCGGTCAAGTCTTTCTAGCTGGTTTAGGCAGGCAGTAAGAAGGCACAAACTGTAATCTATAACATTTAGTACAAGTCCCTAATAGAGTAGAAAAAGTAGTTGTTCATTGTCGGCGAATGCCATCACTTTCTGCGCCGATATACCTTTCTTGGCTCTAACTATGACACTGTGTACATGATTCTTGAATGGGAAGCATATGTCGACAATTTTGCTTTTTATCTCATTGTGTTCGTTCTGTCGATATCAATACCGCACATGCTCACATGAATACTGACAATGTGGGTACTCAAGAAAAACCATGTTAAGGAAGCTTTTGAGGTATTTACCTTGATTCCTGGCGCCACCCACTGAGCAGATCTATCTAATTCATACTGTAGCAGTGTCTAGCACGAAATTTTTATTTATATACTTAATTTTCCGAAATTTGTTTTCGAAGCCAAATAATCAACATCACACACCAAACCATGTTACAGTGTTATTTCATTGTGATAATTAGAGAGTCAGTTGGACGGCAGACTACCCTCACTGTCTGTTGAAACATTCAGTTTAAACGAAATGCTACACCCAACCCCTTATGTTTCTATGCAAGTGAGCTATGGAGCTGAAGAACTGAAGAAATAATTAAAGAAAGAAAGAAAAAAAAAGAAAGAAAGAAAGAAAGAAAGAAAGAAAGAAAGAAAGAAAGAAAGAAAGAAAGAAAGAAGAAAAAAGAAAGAAAGAAAGAAAGAAGAAAGAAAGAAAGAAAGAAGAAAGAAAGAAAGAAAGAAAGAAAGAAAGAAAGAAAGAAAGAAAGAAAGAAAGATAGAAGACAAAAAACGGAGGAGGAGCAGAAAAAGAAGAAGAAAAAGAAGAAGAAGAAGAAGAAGAAGAAGAAGAAGAAGAAGAAGAAGAAAAAGAAGAAGAAGAAGAAGAAGAAGAAGAAGAAGAAAAAGAAGAAGAAGAAGAAGAAGAAGAAGAAGAAGAAGAAGAAGAAGAAGAAGAAGAAGAAGAAGAAGAAGAAGAAAAGAAGAAGAAGAAGAAGAAGAAGAAGAAGAAGAAGAAGAAGAAGAAGAAGAAGAAGAAGAAGAAGAAGAAGAAGAAGAAGAAGAAAGAAGAAGAAGAAGAAGAAATAAAAAAAAAAGAAGAGAGAAGTAGAAGAAGAAGAAAGAAGAAGAAGAAGAAGAAGAAGAAGAAGAAGAAGAAGAAGAAGAAGAAGAAGAAGAAGAAGAAGAAGAAGAAGAAGAAGAAGAAGAAGAAGAAGAAGAAGAAGAAGAAGAAGAAGAAGAAGAAGAAGAAGAAGAAGAAGAAGAAGAGGAAGAAGAAGAAGAAGAAGAAGAAGAGGAAGAAGAAGAAGAAGAAGAGGAAGAAGAAGAAGAAGAGGAAGAAGAAGAAGAAGAAATAAAAAGAAGAAGAAGAAGAAGAAGAAGAAGAAGAAGAAGAAGAAGAAGAAGAAGAAGAAGAAGAAGAAGAAGAAGAAGAAGAAGAAGAAGAAGAAGAAGAAGAAGAAGAGGAAGAAGAAGAAGATAGAAGAAGAAGAAGAAGAAGAAGAAGAAGAAGAAGAAGAAGAAGAAGAAGAAGAAGAAGAAGAAGAAGAAGAAGAAGAAGAAGAAGAAGAAGAAGAAGAAGAGGAAAACAATGATATACAAAAATTATAATAGTAATCATCATCATCAGTTTCCACCTCAGCTGTTAAAGAGTTGTGGGCAAGAACATTTTGCCATCCATTGCTTGACTGGCAGTAATGGCTTTTGTCATTTAGAGTCAATGTACAAGCACTCCAATATTATCAATCCATTTTCTTTTTGGGCGGTCTCTTGCTTTCACTTCAGATCTGTTCATATGTAGCGTCCGCGTGGGTAGTTATTCTAGCTGCATTTTTACTAAATGTCCAAACCATTTGATCTTTTGTTAATTAGTGAATTTGCTACATTATTGTTCTACAACCTGTCTGTTACTCGCATTTCAAAAGTTGTCTCGGATGGTTAATTAAGTTGGCGGCTTTTCTCGGGCATCTAATTTCGCAGGTGGTAATTAACGCAGGTTAGACTTTGATTATGTCCAAGTATTCTAATTTTAATATTACACTAAAAATAATTTACAACAATAATAAAAATACTAATTTACAGCTAAGAATATTTTAACCACCCTACTCACCACGAGAACAAGACTAGCTAGCCGAGACCTGGTGTGCCCGGATAAATAGACCTAGAAGGGCAACTTAGGGTCACAGAGAGAGCTAATATCAGTTGTTATCTGACGCGTTGTACCGAGGTCCTAGTATTTTTGTATAAAAAAAAAAAGTATAAAATCGCATAAAGGAAATCATGTCCCAATCTCTTTAACGGCAAGTGCGTCAGTTGGATACGAGTGGAGCCCACGCAATGATCTAGCAGCTGGTCGGCCATAAAGGACATGAGACGTGGCAGATATTGGGGTTGATAATAGTAACAATGAAGGTGATCACCTACACTTTATTCTTCACTGGTAAGGTCACACAAAGCGAACATACTTTGGATCTTATGTCCAGGCTATGTCGGCGTGGTGGATAATGAACAGACAGACTGGCTGGATCTGCACCACTGGGTGGTGAATTGATACATGACAAGGCAGATGTGTTCAAGGCCCTTTGGGAACAACCAAGAAGATTATTAAGGCATGGCGAGAATGAGGCAACCAGACTGTGACCGGTACAATCAGCATTGGAACTCTGCTCTGGCTGCTGAAGGTGACGACGGAGCATTCATGTGAAAGCCCCGAGGACTGTGATGTCAATTATTGAATCAACTCAACTCAGCTCAACTTTATGCTGTGATTTCTGCTTCTTATTGGGCGTTCACCTTTGAAAGGTTCGTTGTTTTATGCTTTAGCAAGGCTGCCATATCTGTCTCTCTCGGCGCAACACATCCAATTTCAGTACTCTCTAACGGGTTGTCTTTTACGACATGCTAGACAGGAGATGGGATTGTTCAATCCTAGCTGCGGGCCATACGCCTTGCTTTGGATTAGACAGTGGTATCAGGGGGCCGACCGTCCAGAAAGCAATGGCAAACTACTGGACGTAAATTTGCCTAGAGAAACCACACAACAGCCAGGAGCTGCTGGGGCTGGTTCTGCAAAGTCCTGTAAAGAATACGCAACTAACCTACCTCATCTTGGTTTCCAGCTCTGCCCTACATGAAGGTCTGATGGTTTCCAGCTCTGCCCTACATGAAGGTCTGATGGTTTCCAGCTCTGCCCTACATGAAGGTCTGATGGTTTCCAGCTCTGCCCTACATGAAGGTCTGATGGTTTCCAGCTCTGCCCTACATGAAGGTCTGATGGTTTCCAGCTCTGCCCTACATGAAGGTCTGATGGTTTCCAGCTCTGCCCTACATGAAGGTCTGATGGTTTCCAGCTCTGCCCTACATGAAGGTCTGATGGTTTCCAGCTCTGCCCTACATGAAGGTCTGATGGTTTCCAGCTCTGCCCTACATGAAGGTCTGATGGTTTTCAGCTCTGCCCTACATGAAGGTCTGATGGTTTCCAGCTCTGCCCTACATGAAGGTCTGATGGTTTCCAGCTCTGCCCTACATGAAGTTCTGATGGTTTCCAGCTCTGCCCTACATGAAGGTCTGATGGTTTCCAGCTCTGCCCTACATGAAGGTCTGATGGTTTCCAGCTCTGCCCTACATGAAGGTCTGATGGTTTCCAGCTCTGCCCTACATGAATGTGTGATGGTTTCCAGCTCTGCCCTACATGAATGTCTGATGGTTTCCAGCTCTGCCCTACATGAAGGTCTGATGGTTTCCAGCTCTGCCCTACATGAAGGTCTGATGGTTTCCAGCTCTGCCCTACATGAAGGTCTGATGGTTTCCAGCTCTGCCCTACATGAAGGTCTGATGGCTGACATGACAGCATTCTGGATAGGGCCATACTTACTCTGTCGCTGTATGTAACAG